TTTTTTTTTTTGGTTTTTGGTTTGCTTTTTTGCTTTTTTTTTTTTCTTCCTTCCCAGATGTTCCTCTTTAAAGCTTTCGAAAATTGGCTACTTTTCATCACAGGGCCTGGCAGCCCTTTAAAGGGATGAAACTCGACGCGGGAGGCTGCAGGCGAAGTGCTCTGGGAGGTGGTCTCCTCCCTTGGCACAGGGAGGCCAGGCAGGCACCTGGCTGGCCGCAGGTTGAGGGCTGGGCAGCGCAGGGCAGGACGCGGCCGCTCTCCGGCGCCGGCGGGGTGGCAGGGTTTGCGGTCTCGCCTCAGTCCGCGCTCACCAAACTCTTCCTTTTCCCGTAAAGCTCGGCCATCGATGGAAGAAGTGGCACCAAAGTGGCCATTAAGAAATTGTACCGCCCGTTTCAGTCTGAACTCTTCGCCAAACGAGCCTACCGAGAGCTGCGCCTCCTGAAACACATGAAGCACGAAAACGTGAGTCGGGTCGTTAGCAGATATCCCCCCTGAAGGCCACAGCTTACACACCCCTAAACCAGAAAGAAAGTTGTGCAGAGTTGGACAAGGCAGATGTGTGGCTGCATGGGATTTGGGAGTCTTTGGGCAAGACCTGTGTGTCTGTCTTTTGTCTGTCTGTCCTTTATCTGCAAACATCAGTTCGCACGAACTAGAACGTCCTGTGGGAAATGCCACTTCGCTTCCATGTAGGAAAGGTTGGATGGGGAGCGTTAGGACCACAGTGGAATTTGTGCTCAGAGCTAGCGAGAGAGATTAAGGACCAGAAATTACAATCTCCATCACTATGTTCCTGTGAGGTGCAGGAGAGTGCAGAGCATGGGTCTGTGCCTGTCGGTCTTGGGTGCCAGCATCTCTTTTTTTCTGAAGTTGCATGAAGATGACTATAGTACACATGCATATCTTTGGGGAGGGGGTAGGGTTTTCCTTTTTTTTTTTTTTTTTTTTTTTTTGTTCTTGAAACATTTGAAAGTTTTGGGCTTGTACTGTGAAACAGGAGAAGTTAATGAATGACTAAATAAATCAGTTTACTGGGAAGAAGAGAACAGGATACAGAGCTCTGCACAGATTCCCACATAATGCAAAAGAACAGCCATAGAAAGAAGTGTTGAAAGTGTCATTGAGATAAAGATACTTAGTCCCAATAGTGCTTAACAGTTTAAGAAAAAAATGAAGGAGGAGACATTTGTGTGAAAACAGGTTTTGTGGAATCCAGGCACAGATTCCAGGTGAGAAGGCTCCCAGGGTGGGCTTGGAGGATCACAGTAGGGGCTTTAAATGCTGTTCATGAAGAATGCATGTGGAAAAAAAAAAAAAAAAGAGAGAGTTTGGAGGGAGTTGTTAAAATTATGCATAAGAATCTGGTTTAAAATGTTAATAATGTAGGAGATTAGAGCATAGCTCCATTCATGATGGCCTTCAAGGAAAGCTAAGAGATCGAAAGCGAGGATGAGAGAAACTGGTAATAACAATAGCCAGACATTGCCATTTAACGTTACAGTATTAACACTGTGAGTACCAACGATATCTAGGTTCATTTTGAAGAATAATCTGTGGGATATCCTGACTGTCCAGAAAAAAAACAGACCTTTTTGTAGGCTTAAGAACCTGTGTGCCTGTTAACATTTTGGTCTGAATCTTTTAATACATTTGACCATTTTACTTGATGATTCCTTTGAAGTAACTGCTTCATAACCACTGCTGTATATATGTTAAAGAGTTAACGTTTGCAGGGAACTTCTGTGTCATGCATGGGCTTTCATACTCTCAGCACTTTCTTTACTGAACATTTGGGAGCAGAGCAGCTCGTGCAGTTGCCAAGCTCCTAACTGTGTCCAGAATTTTGAGATTATTTTTCTTCCATTTCCCAGAATAATCTGTTGGGTAGCATTTTCCACTTCTGGTGGTTTTTATGCGGTGTATGCCCTTCAGGATAATGCTCTGGAACCCCTCCATGGACTCCTTTGATAATTAAAGAGTCTAGAAGAAGATGCTCTCTGGGGAACATCAGCACAATCTGTAAAAGTTACAAATCGGTATATATGAAGGAAGGGAATAATTTACAGTCTTAGGAAACAGTTTGGGCCACTGAGAGAAGAATATGGTCTATGTACTGAGGAAGAGTTTTACCATGAATTATGGCATCTACTGATTAGAGAACAAAGACCGAATAAATGATCCTACAGGGATTCACAGGCACCGTGGAGGCAGAAGCCGGCTACTCCACCCGTCCGTGATGAGGCTGACATGGCAGTACAACCCATCAGGAGAATTTCCATCTGCCATCCCAGCCTCACACCCTTCTGTCAGTTGTTTCACCCATGGTGAATTAGGAATAGCAACAATGCCTTTTAGGATCTCTAGTCCCTGTGCTGATCTCAGGAGACTCCTTTAGCCACTCCACGCATCCAAAATTAAACCAGAGTGGCAGTATCGCTCCTCGTCAGGATTTTCACACCCCCCCACCCCGCTTTGACCCACCACCATTCTGTCAAAGAGCCTCTTTTTTGCATATTTCCACCAAAGGATGGATTTACAGGCAGACAGTAAGGTCCTTTCCCGTTCCCATCAGCAGCCCCCGGTGTGCTGTGCACGCCTTTGATGATATATACAGTAGTGGCAGGACAGCTGCCTGTTCTCTGTCATTACCATCGTGGCTTCTGTGGGTCTGGCCATGGGGTTTTGAATGGGCGCCACTCAGGTGGGTGCATATCTCCTTATAGCAGGAATTAATAGAATAGAACAGTGATTGAAGTATCTTTCCTGATTTTTCTGTTAACTAACAATTTATAGTATACTTCTAAAAATAGCAGTTATCTATCCTTCTGGTTAGGTACAACTGCTATTAAAAATTAATCAAACTGAAGTCATTGTTTCAAAGACCACAATAAAATAGTGATGCCACTGTTACCTCTGTCTTAGGTGTTGGTAATCTAAGTATGTAGAGGACATGGGGTGTGATAGCTGGTCTGATGGTATTGCCACAATGGATTAGACTTGGGATATTGTTGCAACATTGCACTAATCGGCCAGTACAAATCTTCATCTTGCTTTTTTCCTACTTCAGGATATAAACTATTTCAAGGTTCTGTTTATTCGATAGTTAAAATTGCATTCAATTTGCTCTTCTGAACTGTTTTTCTTTCAAAATTACTTCTGTAATCTTGATGCACTTCATGTTGGATTACATGAAGAGTGTGATGTTTTGTTTGTTTCACCGTGATTGCCTCTTGATGGACCGTCTCTGCCCTTCATAGCTTTCGGGGAAGTGTTGTGTTAAGCATGTAGCAATACATTATCATAGTTTATTTAACCTTATGCTGTATTCAGAATGATGGAAGAAATTGTAGTGGTCTGACACATTGTGTTAAGAATAGCATCTCTGATCCTCCATTAAGGTAGCAGGAGATACCATTAAACCTGTGCCACAGTGATATAATTCATCAGTGTGTCATGCTTCAGTGAAGAAAATGGAGGAAAACTTCTGCTTAATACCCTGGATGACCTCCATTATAGAGCCTTTGAGGAACATGCTCATGTCCTTACTGTGGAAGGGTTGTAGGATGACCAGGAGTCCTGTAAAAACAAATACAGGAGTCATCCTACTGAATTTTACTGGAATTTTATTTTACCTTGTAAGGAAGCTAACTCACAAGTCAGTTTGCTTGTCTATTTAGACATTTTCAGGAGGAGGCAACTCTGGTTGCTGGCACGACCATCTTTCGTTATATATGCTAGACCTTTGTTCTCCCTAATGGCTGTCAAGCAGGACATTACTTAAATGTAGTGAGGAATATTTCTATATAAACTGTGCAAACTTGGTAGCGTGAGACTTCTCATCAACCCTTTGCAAACAAATCCAGGGGAGAAATGGTGTTGAGGACCACAGGGCAGAGGTTGTATGTGAAGAGGACAAGACCTGGCTGTTAGGAGATAAATCACTGTCTTTAATGGCACTGGTATCCATTATTTTTTTTGTAGGCCTTTTAATCTGAGAGCATCTGGGATGTTTCACAAACATCATAAACTACTTCTACTGCCTAAGAAGCAGTCTAACCCAGATCAATTCCTCAGACATTGCCAAAAAGAAAAGTTAGTTTCCAGTGGGATAAGCTGCCGGATCACTCTGTAGCTGCGTAAACAGATATTCTGGCACAAGAAAGGGAATGGTGTGAAAATGAGGTATAAAAACAGCTAAAGCAGAATGAAGAGAGCACTGTGTTTGGTTTTGGTGGTTTTTTTTTCATGCTAGCTTGAAGTATTCATCCCACTACAGCCTTAGCAGCTCGATTATTTCTTTGGCATCTGCTGCATCTTGTATAGAAGACCAGGCTGTTTACCTTTAGGAAATTTTTTTTCAGTAGTGCTGCTTTTTGTCAAGTTCAGTTAAAGTGAGGACCCTTAAAACTATCTGTTACGGCTCTGACTTAAAACCAGTAACAGTGAAAATATGGCCAGCATGCTATCTTTGGCCCTGGCTTTGGCTCTCAAACATTTGTGTAGCTCTGCATTCATGTATTCTTCTGAATTTAATGGAGACGGCTGTGTATGCAAAGCTAAACCCAGACAAGTAAGTGGAGGTGCAGAACCTTTAGTTTCATTTGGCAAATAACTTGGATTTTATTATGCACTTGGACTGGAAGTGATACCACGATACCCACCTTTTGTTGAAACAACTGCACAGTGGCTTGTACTGGTCCAGTCCTGGTGCCCTTCTCACCTCCCAGTTTGCTAACAGAAGTTTTAAAGTTTCCAGCAGGAGTGCAAAATAGCTGGCAGGGGAGATGGCACTGAAGAGAGGGAGAGAAAAGCAGCGGCTCGTGCTGATGTCTTGTGTCAGTACAGAGTGCGGATTTTATCAAAGTGTGGTACATGCATGTGTATGTGTACATACGTGTATACCTATGTATACATATAAGCACCCATGGGAATTCTGACGCAATTTTACCAAGTTAGATTCTGAATGTGTTTCTGGCATAAAATTTTTGACAAATGCCCGTTAAACGGTTCTTGGGTTGGGTAATATTCCACAGATGTTTTCTCTTCCTGGAAACCCTGTGTGTAAGAGGCAACTGCAGTATTTGTTTAAAGGTACTCTATATTATGCTCTCACTCATTGCTCTGAGTGGAAATTATTCTCTGGTGTATTCCCACATCTGAAGACCAGTATGTGTTTTGCATTATGAGAACCATGTAGCTTTCCCCCCCGCCCCCTTTTTGGAAGGAACTCAGGTATCCAACAGACACCAAACTGTCTGTCTCTCTGCAGTTATATTTCTGAGGATGATGCAGGCCTTCACTTTTAGGTTGGCTAATATTTAATTCTGTTGACTTCTTTATTTTGAAAAAATGTTAGGCTTTTTATTTACACCTACACAGTGTCATCCAAGGCAGGAGTTTGTTCCAGAGAAAATAGTGGGGCAGTCTGTGTTCCTGGTTGAGAAAATCTTAAAACTGTCACCTTTTGCAGTTCATCCACCCTGACGTGAGCACTAGAAGAGCAACAGCCTCTGCAGTGTACAAAAACAGACCAACAAGGGAGTTGTGGATGAGTGATGCCTTTACAGATGAAAGCATGCTCACTGTTAGAAGAGGTTTCCCGCAGCAAGTCCTGCAGGAATGCATCAACTAAAAATTCACATCCTCTGGGTACACAAGTGACGGTAAAGTGTAATTCGGGAATCCTGTCTGGAGATGGCAAATCTCCTTATGGGTCCTTATTAAAGCAAAAATACAGTTATAACTGGATAGTTTATTGCTGTCAAAAGGTTGTGGGGAGAAACACTCCTGGCTGCCTTTCTGTGGGCTGAAAGCTTAGCACAGCTAGGGAGTTAACAGGACACCAGAGTCACTTATTTTAGTACTCAAAAGCCAATAAATCAACATGGTGGTATCGGTTGTCACTTCTGCTTATTTTTACAAGCCTGCCTAATAGGTGTTTTACCTAGGCTGGGCTTCAGCTGATAGCCATCTCTTTACAACCTAGCCTTGGGTACTAATAAAGCAGACTGATTACCTTAGTCCGATAAATGAAAATAAGGAAGACAGCACTGAAACTTAAACCTTCTCTTTGGTTTGCCATCCAGTCCAGAGATGAAGATGTGTCTGTCTGCAGGATTTGGATCTGTCCAGTGCTACATATGGGTCCTTGAAAGAAGAGTGTGGTGATGCTCATGGTTGTGTCTTGTGCTTGCCGGTGTGCTGACTGGCAGTAGAAAAGGAAAGGAGTTCTCAGTCCATCAGCAGGCATCCCTTGTGTCATGTAGCAGTAATCGGCAAGGAAGAAAGGTGACTGTGGTGCAAGGCTTGTGTGTGGATAGTTAAAATTTTAAAAAGATTGAGACTTCTTATTGTAGTAAAAGGATGCAAGTGCTCTGTGATGTGGAACTGCACAGGAACATGAAGTTGAAGCTAACCCTGCAGAAAATTTAATGCAGCATAATATGTAGTTCAGTGCACCCCATCAGGGATCTCTCTTAAAAAATGTACTTGCTTTTGTAGCTCGAGTGCCAAAGTCATTCAACTTCACTGTGTTTTCATGCGTAACGTGCATAAGAAAGCAGCACTTACTGTATAAGAGACATAACCTATGTTACTTATTAATTTATACAAGATCTGAGTCTTTCATTGATGTGCTGCTGCTTCTTACATCAGAAACTTTCCTTTACAGAAATGCAGTGGAACGGTCCTTGAATAAAAGTAATCCAACACATGAAAGCGCACGGGAGGAGAGAGATGAGGAGCTCTTTGCTGTTGTGTTCAACTGCTGGAATAACATTTGGAAAAAGAGGCAGCTGAGAAGGGAAAGGCAGAAACCACCTTACCAATGCAAAGCTGTTATTTATTTGCTGACAGTAGTTAAAGTTGATCAGGGTGGTCAGTATAAATGTCTTGGGGGGGGGGGGGGGGGGGGGGAGAGAGG